AGAGGTTGCTGCAGCGTGCAGGGGACCGGTGTGTCGGGCAGAGTGTTGCACGTGGGAATCTGCGTGGGCAGGGGGTGGGTTGTGCGCCCGTGCGCTCGGCAGCTGCACCCCTGGGTGCTCCTCCTGGAAGACCCTGGGGCAGTTTGCATGGCACGTATGGCAGGCGGGGAGAGGGACGGCGCGGGGCTGCGGGACAGGGCTGGGGCTGCTGGGCTCTGCGGCTGGCTCCAATTTAGGAAGCTCAAACCCACGCTCCTGTCCTCGTGTCCCCAGCGGGATCAGCTCCGGGCATCCTGTGCCAGCTGCTAACCCAGCCCCGGCTGTGCACCAGCCTCGAGCTCCCACATGCTCCAAGATTAGCAAGATTTCAGAAAATGTCTGGAATACACGTTCCCCCACGGTGCTCTCCAGCTGCCAGATCTCTGGGAGAAGGAAGACACGTTTCCTCTGCAATCACCTCGAGATGCTCGAGGTCAGGCCACCTTGGGTTTTACCAGATGAGGATTTACCCTGTCTCCCTCCAAACCAAATGGGTGCTTGCGGATGGGTGGCAATGCAAACGTAACTGGGGGTATGCAAGGAAAAGCCAGGCGCCCTCCCCGATGCCGACGCTCCCTCGGGAGCAGCCTCCTGCCAGGATGGCCACCACCCTGGAACAAGCTCTGGCCTCCAGCATTGCCACCTTCCACGAGCGCTCGGGAAGGAGGGTGACAAGTACCAGCTGAGCAAGGGCGAGCTCAAGGAGCTGCCCAGCTCCATGGGGGTGAGCGTGGGGACACCTGGGACTGAGCCCCACAACCATCCTCACGTTTCTCCCCACGACTGGGGAAGATGTGGGGGTCAGGGAAGGGCTCACTCCTCCCTGAACCAGGTTCCCCCATCTGCCAAAACCACCCATTGTGGTTCCTACCTACCTGTGCCGCGGCCGGCGAGTGCCATCCTTGACCCTGGTGATGCTCTGTGCCAGGAACAACTGGGTGAGTGCTGCTGAAAGACCTGGAGGACAAGGGCAACACGATGGACTTCAAGGAGTACGTGGTCCTCCTGGGCTGTCTTGGTGTGCTCTGCAATGACTTCTTCGCTAAGGCTTGTGGCCCCACCAGCCGGCATCGAGCCCCAGCCCTTGGATCAAAAAAACCTGCTGTCACCTCTCCAGCCCTGCTGCGGATCCTGCTCGTTTGCATTGGGGTCACGGGGATGGGAATGCTTGGGATCGTCTGTCTTGGGGAGATCAGGGCCACCAAGGAAGCTGGCGGTGTGGGGGACACTGCAGTGATGGTTTAGGGGGGATGTAGGCTGGTGATCCCCAAGGGATGCCCCAGCCTTTCCCAGTGCCTGCGCCCATCCCTTGACTTGTGCCTCAGACCCCAGACTCCCCAGTACGGCTGGCGGCTCATCCCAGCAGCACCCAAACCCACTCACCTCCCACTAATGGGATCACACAGCTCGTTAAGCAAAAATGAGGCGTGGGCGAAACCGCTTGCGTGGAGCTGCTGGGAAAGCCTGGAGGCGAGGGGGCTGCGTGGGGCGCGCTGGGCAGTGCCACCCTGGCCAGGCTATAAATGCCCATCGCACTCTGGATGCAGCACCCCGGTTCCTCGCTGCTACCTGATCTTTGACGACCCCGGTGAGTCTCTGCTCCCCCCCCCCACCTCGTGCATTGCCCGTTGTACAGCTTTGCTCTCCAGCTGCAATTCATCCGGCAGCCGCTGCACCCCAAAACATCTCCCTGAGAGGCGTCGGGGTTGCAGCCGCCCCTCTGCAGCATCACGGACCGATTTGGGCAGGGTGGGGAAGACAGACCCCCGTCGTCACCCCGAGCCCACCTTGACCCCATCCCCGGTGCTCTGCCCTCCAGGCACGCAGGAGGCTGGCGATGGCGTATCCCCTGGAGCAGGCGCTGGCCGTGATGGTCACCACCTTCCACAAGTACTCGGGGAAGGAAGGGGACAAGTACAAACTCAGCAAGGCGGAGCTCAAGGAGCTGCTCAACAAGGAGCTACCCGTCTTTGGGAGCGTAAGTGGCCGTGGGGGGAGCACATCCCTTTGCATCCTTGGAGAGAGGTGTCGTAGGGGCGGGAGCAAACCATCCTCGGGTCTTTCCATGTAGAATCATAGAATCTTTAAGGTTGGAAAAGACCTCTAAGATCATCAAGTCCAACCGTCAAGCATGGTGCAAACAACGGTGAGCCGAGGTGGTCTCTGAATTTCCCCAAAGCACGCACCATGGATGCAGCCCACGTGCGAGATGCTGAGATCTCGTGCTTTAGGGCAAGACCCAGGGAGAAGGAGGGACAAGGGCAGGGGGACCTGAGCTGGAGCATGCTCAGACCAAAAGGAAACTTGGCTTTCTTATACCCACAGAAATATTTTGATTGGCAAAGAAAATCGTGCTCCGATTTCATTTTTTTTTTTTTTAATCCTTTTTTAACTCCCACTTCCCCTTCTGATTTGTGGTTTAAGATTGGGAGGAAGGAGAAGAATTTTTTTTTTTAAACCAAACTTTTTCATGGCTGAGAGGCACAGCTGCTGTAGCCATGCCAGCACGCCCCAGATCACAGGTAAGCCAGGTGTGTTTCTAAAGGCCACTTCCTTCCAAAGACAAAGAGAAAACCCTCCTTCAAGGCAGGGGGAGGGAAGCCCAGGCTTTTTACTTCCTTCTGTGCAAGCAGCAGGGTTGGACGGGAAAGCATCTCGCTCATCCATGTGCCCCAAAACCACTTACCCCCACCACATTGTCCCCCCCACCCCTCCTTGCAGAAACAAATGGATGAAGCGGAGTTCAGGAGGCTCATGAACGACCTGGACCACGACAAGGACAGCGAGGTGGACTTTAAGGAGTACGTCTGCTTCCTGGCCTGCATCACCATGGGCTTCAACGAGTTCTTCAAGGATGGTCCCACCAAGCAGCCTCGCAAGAAGTGACCCCCCGCTGCCCACGGCATGGTGGCAGGGCTTTCAATAAAAACTTTTCCAAAGCCGTGTTGTGCATCAGCAGGGTTGTGTGTGCCGAGGGTTAGCGGGCAGCTGGGTGACTCACGTCTTCCTCCAGCTCCGTGGGATTTTCCACGGTACGACTCAGCCCTGAGAGGCATTTTTTTTTTTCTTTTTTTTTTTTTTTTGAAAAGTCTGAGCAAAACAGCTCAGCGCTGCCTCCGGGCAACTTGGACTTTCCCCTCGAACTGTCCTTGCTGGCTCGGGCAAGAGGTTTAGTGCATGTTTAGCTCAAAACATAGGAGCTTCCCTGAGCTCGGCTCATGGGTTGGCACAAGCCGCCCTGGGCGATGCGTCGGGTTTGGGGAGGGAGAGCTGGTCTGGAGGAACCGGACAGCAAGATGCGAGGTCCGTGTAAAGCACAAAAACCAGAGTGTGTCCCCAGTTCCTGCAGAAAAGAGCTCTTTCTGAGCAGCTGGAGGAGACCCTTAGCCCCCTGGGGACATGGACGAGCCCACGCTGAGGGACTGCATTGGAGAAGGTCACCCTGAGCCCCCCTCCCAGATTTACCACGGAGCTGCAGACAAGCAGCAGGTTCCTGAGCACATCAGCCTGCGGTGCTGGCTGGGATGCACGGAGCTCACCCCCCTCCCTCCGCCCTCCCGAAGACGCAGCCGCTCCTGGCAGGGGCGGGGGGGGTTGGCGAGAGGGGTTGCTTTCCCCAGCAGCCTCAAAACCCCCGATAAACCACCCCAGATTCAAAAAGCCCTTGCGAAGCCTCTGCACCATTGCATGGCAGAGCAGACCCCATCTCTGAGCCCCCAAGTCCTTCCAGCATCTCCCCAACAGCTCCAGACTTTCCCCTGCCCCTTCCCCGGATCTTTAGAAAGAGCTTCTGGGAGCTTCTGCCCCCTCCCAGTAATTTACACCAGTTTGCGCTTGGTAACAGGGTGATGAGGTTCAGGCTTGGGGGTTTCTTTTGCCAAAATGATCCTTCGACAGAAACCCCCGACCTGGGGAGATGCTGTGCGGTGTTTGGTGAGGTTTCACATCCCTCTGGGCATCGGAGCAACTCGGAGCTGGCTGTGGGGCTTCATACCCTGTTTTTCTCACTCTGGTCCCCGCAGCAGTGGGTGGGTTTGTCCCAGGGGGGCTCAGCCAGACTCGGGGACACTCGGGGTATTTGTCAGCCCTTGCACCACGACGAACAGTCGGTTCACCCCATGGCAGGGGGTTGCAAACTGCTGGCTCTTG